TTTAAACACTACAATGTACCACATTTTTTAAATTGTGTCTATTCCATTATACTCATGTATCTACACCGCAATATACCACAGCTTTGATACTTAATGACAAACGAAAAAATAAAAATAAAATACAGAAACAACGTCTTAAAGACGCCTTCCTTCATTCTGAGTGAACGACCTCTGGGGCCCGGCACCGGACCAACGAAGGGCTCCACCGCCAAAGGGGCGATCACAGCCTCGCGTCAAGCGGCTGGGGCATGTCGGTTCCATGGTGCTGTTCTACTTTTTCGGGGCGGGCTGGAAGGAGGGGAAGATAGGTAAATGATGGGAAAATGAATATGTTTTATTTTAAACGTTTGCTAAGTGGCTTTGGTTTGCTTTTGGGTTTGTGGGTGCCAGTGGTGTTCGTTTGCTTGAAAGGGGTTCTTAGATTGGGCTCTGCCCCGGTACACTAACAGTGACCACAAATCATACCAGAAGAAAAAAACACAGCAATATAGCCACAGTTTGCATCAGGATGACTTTCGTTAATTACAGTGGTGGTACATGCACACACCCTCAAGTACATCGGAGGCCTCTTGCCTCTTTCCCATTCGAAAGCCACAAGTGAGCATCCAAAGCATGTCGTCTTTTGGATGGTCTTTACAGTTGAAATACTCTAGACTCTAGGACCCTACGCTATAACAGTAACACTAAAGCATATTATATATATATGTATATAAATATATGGTATACGCATTTGTACATATATATGCATTTGTACATTTACGAAGTAAGCCACAGAGACGAACTGTCAAACAGTCAACGGCTCAAACCGCTCCAGCTCGCTGTCATCAACTTGGACCTCCTGGGCTTCTTTCGATTCTTGGCTCAATAGGCTCAAGGTGAAGACCGGCAATTCACATGCTCTTGGCCGGATGATTTTACACTTGTCCCCCACTTGTTTCCCGTGCGTCTATACGAATCTGCAGAATCTCAGTACACCATTCACCGATAGTTTGGCTGATGGTAGCGCCCAGAGAAAAGAACATGAGCTGCTGCCAAAGAAAACGAGCTGGGCGGAGCTGGGCTTGACGGGCAAGTCTAGTAAAAGGAACAGAAGCACCAAAAGAAACACAACTCAAGACTCAAACCACCAAAGAAATGACAAACAAAACACAAAACTGACCACAACATTGTGCGTTTTTTGTGTTTGTGTGTGGTCTGTTTTGTGTTTTTGTTGGTTCTTTTGTGTGGTATGATTTGTGTTGTGTGGACTGGTTTGTGGTCGCATTTGTGCTTATTTTTTGTGGTATGCATTGTTGCATGTTTGTGGTATGATTTGTGATTTTTTGGTGTTTTTTGGGTAAAATTTGTGGGCGTTTTTGTGTTTCTTGTGGTATGACTGTGTTTTTTGTTGTTGTTTTTGTGGTATGATTTGTGGTTGCGATTGTGTTTTTTTCGTGGTATGACTCGTTTTTTGTGGTATGATTTGTGGTCGCGTTTGTGTTTTTTGTGGTATGACTTGTGCTTGTGGTTTGATTAGTGGTTTTTGTGGTATGACTTGTGGTTTTGTTGCCTTTTTTGTGGTATGATTAGTGGTCGCATTTGTGTTTTTTAGTATGACTTGTTTTTTCTTGTATTTTTGTGGTATGATTTGTGGTTGTGGTCGTTTTTGTGCGTGGTATGATTTGTTTTTTTTGTGATATGATTGGTGGTCCAGGGCTGAAGAAAAGCACAAATCAAACCACCATAAAAGGCATTTTGCTTAAACAGTTTACGGTTAAGTTTCGCAATTCTTTCTTAAGATGTGTCCGCCCATTCTGTCACTGCTGGTGTCCGCCCTTTTCCGCTGGCCATGCAGCATTTCTATTCATTTGTCTCCCATGTGATTTCTTTATGTACTTTTGTCTCCCAGGTTCGGTGCCTACACTGCTGGTGTCCGCCCTTTTCTGCTGGCCCTGCACTGCTGGTGTCCACCCTTTTCCGCTGGCCATGCAGCATTTCTATTCATTTAATTTGTTTTCCAAGTGATTTCTTTTCTTCCCCAAACAGGCTACTGTTAGGAGTTCTCAATGCTTTCTAAGGGTGTCGGTCTCGCTGCGGGACAGGGTGTCCGCCTTCCATCCGGCTTGTCACCCTCTGGTTGGTCATTGTGTCCGCCTTGTCTCCCTCCTGTCTCCCTTTGTCTCCGGGCTTGTCTCCCTTCTTGTTGGTCACTGTCTCCCTTCTGTCTCCTTTTGTCTCCCTTCTTGTTTTCCTTCTTGTTGGTTACCGTGTCCGCCTTGTCTCCCTTCTTGTTTTTCTTCTTGTTGGTCATTGTGTCCCCCTTGTATCCCTTCTTTCTCCCTTCTTGTCTCTCTTCTGGTTGGTCATTGTGTCCGCCTTGTCTCCTTTCTGTTCCCCTTTGTCTCCGGTCTTGTCGTTCTTCTTATTGGTCACTGTGTCCGCCTTGTCTGACTTCTGCTTCCCTTTTCTCTTTTCTGTCTCCTTTTGTCTCCTCTGTTGCAGTCCTTTACATGTCTCCCAGCTCCGGACTGCCGCGTCCGCCTCTCGCTTGCAACGCTTCACATTTGTCTCCCAGCTAGCTCTGGACTCTGCCCTACAATCCTTTACATTTGTCTTCCTGTGTCTACATTTGTCTCCCAGCTCTTTACATTTCTCTCCCAGCGCTGGGCTGCTGTGTCCGCCGCTGCCTTGCAATCCTTTACATGTGTCTCCCAGCGCTGGGCTGC